ATCTCCAGCCATCTCTCACTACAAATTTACGACGCTATTTATACCCGCAAGGAGGAATAGAATAGAATAGAATTAAATTTAAGTCCCTACTGAGTCTATGACTATGAAGGACCCCGCAAGGAGGAAATTAAGTCATAATATACTAAGTTGGGGTCTTGGTTTATGGGAGACTGATGCTCTAATGGGGTTATACATCTTGAGGAAGAGCAGGCGGCTGAGATGTGGAGCGAGAGGGGGAACAGGTCTCTGAAGAGCATGCTGGGACCGATATTTTCGAGGAGTTTTCAACTTTGGACTCTTTGTGGGCGCCAAGACCAAGATTTCGGCTAATTAGCCAGGAGCGCTTCTTTTGTCGATGAGTCAACGCCACTCCCCAGCGCCCTGGACGGTACAAAAGAAGTCGGGCTAAGCTGCCATACAGCAATCACGCTCTGTCAAGACTTTTCTGACATTTCAGCACGACCTTCGGGAAGGAGTTGGAAGGAGGCTAGAAAGGCAGAGGGTGAATTCTCCGAGGTACCCACAAGTCTGCAGCGCCCATCTGGCCGGCCTCTTCGAACGCTTCAGAAGGGGCACTATGTTTCGGATTTATTCCTAATGTCGGTATTAGAAGAGCCCCGCACTCAGTGGTTTTTGCGAATTTTCCCGGTTGCCATACACCCGCAAATGACCATCATTTCGTTGGCTGGAGAGGGGAGATAATGAAGGGCAAAGGGCTCCTCTTAGTGTATGATCGAATGAGGATTTGTGAGGGGTGGTACTGTTTGAGGGGAGCTGTATGGGAGGCATAGGAGGGGATATACTACTAGTATAGGTATCCTTGGCCTGTAGGCAGAGAGGACCTGCATGTCCTACAATGTCATAGACTCAGACAGGACAATAAAATGAATTAATTAATATGCAAATCTACCCCATTCACAGCGATATTCTTTTCCACCACTTCTCCAACCCCCTACCGTCGAAAGATTATACAGCTCTTTTCATCTTGTGCTTGACTGATAATAAGAATTAGATTTCCCAACAACAAAGCTGGTTATTCAACTGGCACATAGCTTTATATGGGAGAGACTGAACTTCTGTACGCGATGTCCTCTACGAACCTGGGAGTGAAATATTTTCCCAAAGCTAATTTCAGTCAAATTTCGCGACACCAAAGAAGTTGGCCCCCGAGGCAACGATTCAAATTACTCCACCACGTCATATTTTCACTCTCAAAGGGTTTGTCTCCTACCCAGGTCTCATAAAGTCTACAAGTACATCCTCATCCTAATGACCACACTTCTATTCGACTTTCTCTGGCCTCAGCTGGTCACCAAATACACGCCTACGCCGATATTTAATTCCGCAGGAGAAAGCAAAGCGTGGCACACAAATCTGGGAGAAAGTTCTTTGGAATGGACGTGAGAGAGGTCAGGAAAAGATGATGCAGAGGATGAATACAGTCTCAACGGGCGTGAAATTCCGAATTTTGGCAAGAGCTTTACGAATTGAGCTTTGTGCGCGCCAAGACTTCGCTTGCGAGAGTGCAGCTGACACTATAAACATAATCCAACGATGGAAGGTGCTGTGGTCCGCCTCCTGGTGGTGTTCCCCGGTATAGTTTGAGAAGCCTGGGCACCTACTCCACTTGGGAAGGAGACATCTCAGATTACATTTCGTACGGAGAAAAGTTGATGGATGACGGAGGCATGTCTGGGTAGCTCATTGTTTTTGAGACGTCCCCTGGGTGGGTATTCACAGATGAAGGTTGACTTGGAGTGAAGGAAAAGCCGCCATAACTTCGCAGTGGTACTAGCAAATAAAATCCGAGGCATGAGTGCTCTTCTTTTAACTTGAATAATCTATTCTGTACTTTTCTTTGATATTGTGTCATGGCTAGATAGCTGCATACGCGATAAAAATCTGATGCAAAAAAAATCATGGCCTGCACCAGCTGGGCCAAAAGAAGAGGAAGAATAATGAGAAAGGCAGTGAATCGGTCATTTTAAGCCATCATGAACATTCTATTATAGGCTGCAGCCTTGTTAGTCTGGAACCGGACTTTATCCGGCAACTTGCCAGGCGCTAACACATTCATGGCCAAGCGTTGCTATTGCTTATGTAAAGGGACGCCTTACGTGTCGCGTAACATTACATTCATGAACATCCATCCGGGATAGCCCTTTCCTTTGATAGAATATAAATTCTGTCGTGGGCACAAGTTAGATAGTAGTTTATGATCCGTCCTTTCACACAATCCAAAAAATTCAGCAAGGATAAACTAATGGACCCAGCAGGAAGGGGGGCAAGAACAGTTTCGACTGACGCCTGAATTCAAGGCTATGATGAGGGAGAGAGGAGGGTAGGGGAAATGTGTTCCCTTGCTAATAACAAGGAATTGGACTGTATCCGCACTGGATAAAATAGTGTAAATGCACTTTTTGAAAGTAACACAGAATCAAAGTGTAAACAATTTGTAGAGTTAAGGGGGTTTTTATCAAAATAATGGTTTCCTCCTATGTAAATATTAGACTCCGTAGATACAGTGTCTCTGGGCTGGAAAAGATAAAACTTCAAACTGAGTTGTTGAAGGGATTAGCCCTGTAGGCGCAGTTCGGCTAGCTCGTAATAGGTTAGACTGTCTCTCCTCCTTAACCCGCTCGCCATGAAGTGTGGTCCAATCGTCTTCTTCTAGTAATCGGTTAGAAAAACACATTTTCAACAACACTCTTGACAGCCCAAACAACATAGCCTCTAACTCTTAAGATCACCAGTAATTCATCCTCTATTCTTGCAAACAATGTCTCTCGAAAAGTCTGCTTCAGAAACTAAAGTTTGCAGGCATCTAACTCGCGATCTATGTATTGAAATAAGAGCATTAAGAAGACTTGGCTTGACATTACAACATATATCCGACGAACTTGGCTTCACAATAAGGCAAGTACAACTTGCGTGTGCTCGAGAGACTGAGAATCCTATGCCTCGCAAAAGACCCTCACCAAAATTAAGCGCGGAACAAGTTGATGAGCTTGAGGCTTTCGTCCGGAAATCTCCTGAAAATCGACAGATGTGCTATTTGGAACTAGCCATGGGGCCCTTCAGCCACTGGGGATGCAGTGAACGTCTAATTTCTAACGCACTGAAAAAAAGAGGTTACAGCAGATGCATTGCTCGGAAGAAGCCTCCGTTAAGCGCGGTGAACAAGCAGAAAAGATTGGAGTTCGCCCAATTACATTTAGATTGGAGCGATGAACAATGGAGTCGCATATTATGGACTGATGAAACCTGGGTATAGGGTGATTCTCATACGAAACCTCTTGTCACAGGAAAAGCACGTATAAATTCTATCAAAATCTTCCTTGTACTAACAGCAGAGTTTGGCCTGATGATGAATTTGATGAGACTTATATTGTGGCTCGCCATGCTCATGGGAGCAGTTGGATGTTTTGGGGATCATTTTACGGATCACAAAAAGGCCCATTCCTAGTCTGGGAGAAGGATTGGGGATCAATGAGGGCCTCACCCTTTTGTGAAAGGATTTTGCCACTTTTGAATCAATTTCACTCGGAAAATCCAGAAATTCTATACATGCACTACAACGCATCATGTCATAAAGCGTACTCAGCAATTAAGGCGCTGCGTGAAGTTGGAATAACGCCTATTAGATGGCCACCTTACTCTCCTGACCTAAAACCCGATCGAGTCATTGTGGAATATCTTAAAAAACCACATTCAGGTAAATAGTCCTGACATAAATGGGGTCAGGCTTGTGCGCTCTGCCACGTTGAAGAAATTGCTACAGGATGCATGGGACTCTAAACCTTCTGAGGAGCTATTGTCACTAGTTGGCAGCATGCACGAAAGATGTGTAGCAGTGATAAAGGCAAATGGAGGGTACACAAAGTATTAGGATGGAGATGACACACAAAACATGTAGTACGCTTTCATATTAGTTGCGATCCATACTGAGGGCTTCGATGTAGACTTTTGTAATACAGAGCAATAATTTTTGAAATAGATATGCAATTTTAGAGAATATCAATCGAATTTTTTCAAATTTGAATTTCAACTGAGGACCATTGTAATTTTCCCATAGAGTTGAAAACCATCCCCATAAATTAGACTTTCACGGAATGTCATTGGACAGTACCCCTTGCTTGCATAACTAGTCGATTAATTAGACATGGGCCTGCATGAAGACCATACCAATTAAGGCAGTATATACAGGGACCTAACCCCAGTCATTTTGACAATTTCACCTTTGCCATCCTTAAGAGACTGTACTAGCATGGACTTATAAGGCGCCAAATCGGGCTAAGTGAATTCAAATTCAAATCGTGCAATTTTGATCCGTGCGTGCGTGTTACAGGCTGCGCCCATCTCCTAGTGACTGTCGCACGGACACTTATCATTATTACGTCATTAGCCTTGCTATCTAAAGAGATGTCCAACTTGGCCATACAAATACAGGGTTGCCACAAGTATGGATACAAGATATTGTTGCAGCAAGTCTCATATGGAATCATGGGCCGATACGACCCAGATTTGCTATGACGAGCCCACTTGGAATATCAAGGATATGGTGTAGTAGAACAGATAGTGAGGTTAGCGCATTGGGAGTTGGGACACCTTTAATAGCCTCCCCTCGGCGGGCAGTTCCAAGATGTATGTAGAAAATAGACAGTAATCGGCCACCATTCCTTTACAATATTGTTTTGTTGATCGCCCATCACAGTCCGGGCCTTAACAAGCCTGGACTCTATCGTCAGTTACATTGGTAAGAAATTGATCATACATTAAACTATTGGGCTATGGAGATAAATCTCCAACTATTAAAATAGTCTAGACCCTTTGCAGCGATGAACTCACTATCAACGTATTTGCCTCCATTATTATTTCCCCAGTAGGATACTGAATCGTGACGTTTTATTCTTTATTTTAAATACAATAGTATAATCAACCTAATGCGTGCGCCTTGCGCCCCGCTTCCTTATCGATCAATTCTATATCTATATCCAAAGTCATAATTCATCTTCATACGGATCTAGACTATTCTTTTCCGAGATAGAGTCGCCCTGAATCACCTTTATGTCTGCTTCTTCCAAGGTACCCACAAAGGCACGCCAAATAAACCGCAACCATACTTTGTTTTTTATAACTTTCTTCGGACCTTTATTAGATCGATGTTTTTTCATTATCTCAGCCGACTCCTGTCTATATTTATCCGAATAAACGTTTCTATTACCTCCAGCTGGAGAAAAAGGAGCGTGATCAGATTTTTTGGGCTTAAGATTTCCCATTCGTTGAGCAAGCTTGAGATAGCTCCGTACAGTCAAATCCTTTAAGTTATATAGCGTGTCTGTAGATGTATCGTATTCCACGCAATATTCAAATTTTTTAGGTCTCGGCTCATGCTTTGGAATTTTGCCCCGGTTCCTGCCTGGTAACCACTTACTGATCTTGATTTCCTCATCCCGCTGTGCACTGTCATTGTTGAGATCGGTTAAATTGGCAAAATACTGCGTGTAACCTAAAAGAGTAAAGGTCTGTGGCGAGTAGGCAGGTCCTGGCAATGAAGTTTTGGAAGGTGGAGATGGTATGTTTACTTTGGAATTTCTAAGGCCAGGATGTGCGTTGGATCTGGATTTTTCCTCTATCTTGCTATTAACGCTGAAAGTATTTGGTTTATGATCAGCTTCTGCCTTAGGCCAATTTACTAATCCCATGGCGTGGGTTCTCATTTCGTCCCATGTCTTATCCGAGTTTAGACCGGATATATTGTACTCCATTACACGGAGAGTCGGTAAAAAGTTTGGAACAACACTTGGGCTAACAAAACTGATTTGATACCTCTCGCCCCAAGGTCCACCTATGTCTTTTAAAGAATTCTCAGGCCTTTCTAGATGTTTGTATGGATTATCACTCTCATTTGGATATTGAAGTGTAGAAACTTGGGTCGGTAGCTTTGTCCATTGTTTTCGGAGTTCTCTCAGGTAATCGTTAGTGGACTCAATAGTAAGCTCCTCGTCCATCATAGTGCGCATTGAGCTAATTTTATCGCCATCAATGATATCGATAGATATATCTTTTGTATCGTGAAGTAAGAAATGGTCGATGTTCATATGCCCAAAAAACCCTCCTATCACTACATCCCGATATTTCTGTAGCCACAGAGTATATTTCTGCCAGCATGTTTCATACCAAAGAGTCTTACTCGGGGTCCTTGCGGGAGGAACATGGCCGACAATAATAACCTTTAGGCCTTTTTCGCGAATGAGCTGAAGCTGTTCTCTAAACCATTCCATGTGTCCATATCCGGGATCTGATTGGTCTGAACAACCATTCACTTCAACATTGTGGGTGAAGAAGTACATAGTGTTCAAGCTCAGCACAGCTAGATTCCCTGGGATAACTTCGACAACGTAGCCTCCGCCTTTCTGAAAATCAGGTATCTGGTCTTTGGGTATAAAGCTGCTCCACATGCTTGCGTATGTGTCTAGCCATTGATTCGGACCAGCCAACATGACATTGTGAGGTAGCATATCATTGTTACCGAATGTGGACACTATAGGAATGATGAGTTCGCTCGGATCTTCTTCTTTACCGAAAACCTCGAGGAACTTGCTAACAATCCACTGATTTGATTTGAGGACCTCTTCTTGAGTGCGTGGAATTTTTATATCATTGTCGTGTCGAGAGGAATCGCCCGTCCAAAGAATGAAATCGATTTCATCCTTGATATTCTCTTCTATCCATTTAAAAGTAGCGTTTATCAGGGAAGATGGGCTATCGCAGTCGGATGTCTCGGCGCCGTATAGCCCTGAAAACCCGATTCCTCGATGGCACGCATCTGCCTCCTCCGTTGAAGTGTGGGCTTTGTAGAAAGGGTCAGGGTGTAAATCTAATGCAGTTAGATATTGGAGAGTCCCCTTTTAAAAGAGCTAAAGAATCAAGACCTGTGATATGCAAGAATTTACCCTTCAGCCTTCGCAGTGGTGTGGTAGTTATACTATTCTGAAACGACGCCTGTGCGGCAGAGTTGCCTAGCGTACCACAAGAGCTAGGAGCCACGCCAGCCACGAGCAATATAAAAAATGTATAGAAGAACATTGCAATTTTCTAGGTTAGCGTATCGAAGGTTAAAACATATTTAGGATTTGGGTGCCCTCTTCAATTTAGAATTGGCAGTATTCGCGGAGTTTATAAGTGTATTTTGTGCAGACTAACTGTTTTCGTGAACAGGCACTGGGCTGCCCTTTCCCGGCAGCGATGAGAATAAACAAACTGATTTCCGGAAAAATGGAAGGTTCACTATCGCGCTCAAAAAAACCTTGAAGACCTAAAAGCATATTTGATAAGGAATATTCTGGCCAATCAACGATACACGTGCTTATACAGGAAGGTTTGGATGGACGCAGAATCTCACCAATTCGACACAAAGCAAAGTGATCAGCAGATATCAAAGTATCTGTGTCGCCCTGTCTTCAGATCTCAGTGCTCATCGCAGTAGAGAAAACTCTTTTTAGAACTAGCAACCTGGGATCAGTGATATTGCTTATACTCTTACTGTTTGGTGTCGCGACCGCCGATGATCAGGCGGAGCCCTCATCTCCGATTGCGCTTTCTACAGTAGCAACAGCAGAAGTAGGCCATGTAACATTTGAAATCCAAGGATTATTACAAAAAGCGAACTCATGTACTCATCAGGACCGCATGGACACTTTATGTCATTTAGGTCAGCTGTGCTAAGTGGTCATGCCAATAGTCAAACCGAACGCATGACAACACTCTCCTAATCTTACGGCGTCGTACTATTTTTTCTTCCGTTGTTTGGCTGTCTTTACTTACAATCAGCTGGACAGGTATGACACGCTCATGCTCGTTGCGTGACAGCTTGGTAGAATTTGGCGAAGAGAGGAAGTTATCACTAGGTTTAATCACGAAGGCCGTATCTAGTTCAAATTGAAAGGCAGCAATATTTCACGAACACAGCGTACGCGCTGATGTACGTAAGATTTTAATGAGGAAGGTTTACCATGGTTCACGGGCACGGAACTGAACACAGTTGCCAACACGTACACATCGGTTAAAATTATCAGAGGGATTACCCTGTCGCAGTTTTCTACTCGGTTTAAAATCAACAGCGCCCTTTATTGGTCTCTTTCGTAAAACATATCTACAGTAGATAGATTCTCTCTTCACTTTATAGGTACAAGCACAAGTCCTGCAACAGTGTAGCAAGTGTAAATGCTGGGATAAAAAGGCCTGAGGACAAGCCTAACTTGATCTTAAATCAAATTTTGCATTGTATCCAAACGCATCTCGTCATATCACGTGATTTTATATGGAATTAAGATTAGGATGTCCACAACCGTCGCACTTCCCATGTACTTGAATTTTTGAAGGACCCGAGCATCTTCGTCAAAGAGGACGAAAGCTAAAAACCAGTCAAAGGTATCCACTCCATACATGGGAGTGATTAAGTTCCTCAGAGCCGAGATTAGGTCTTGAAATAGGGTGAATTAAAGAGTTTTCAATGATGTGGTTGTCAGGAGGAGATGTGTTGGCCTCTGTTCGGACAAATCTACAACCTTCAGATGTTTGATAACTGCACTAATCAGAGGGTTCAATTAATTTCATTATTGACACTAGTACCTGACAACCTCCTATTTTTTGTATTACTTTTGCTGAAGCTTTATTTTTAAGTGAAAGAGATGAGGCAGAATTTTGTGGCTCGCGATGTATGAAATAACTAAGATGTGGATTTGTGAGTTCCCTAATATTGTTACTATGCTATTATGGTGTTATGTTTTCTATGTATAAAAGGGATGTATCCATCTACAAGTGGGCCAAATCACTTAGGTTTCGCTAGCGATGGTCCTTCGTAGTCATAGACTCAGTAGGGACTTCAATTTAATTCCATTCGATTCGCTAGCGACTTTCGCCATTCCGTTATGTCTCCCCCGCACAGTACCACGTGATTGGAAACAACTGCTCTCCATCAAGTCCGAGGATGTAAAAGCGTTCCAGGTCAACACCTATCGCAATGGAAGACAATCTCCACTGCTTTTTATTTTTCTGTATGAATCTTTCTAGCTTCATTAACCTTGGGAAACTCTCCACACTCATTTCACCATCCGCCAAAGGTCTCCAATAGTCCAGTAGTTCAAAAGTAAGGAAAATGTACAGGGTGACTCTTAATACAGCGCAACCGTCGCGTACAACAATAGTATAGTTGGGTATGGGTCCTTACTGTATCTATACATTGGTCAAGGACAAATAAACTACGGCTATAATGTATCGCCCCCGATAAAATAAGCACGGAGCATTGTTGGTATATCACTCATCGCATTCTGTGAAAACCAAAGCACCCAAGCGCCAGTATCTCATTCTTGAGCCCCTGTTGTATATAGATAATTGTACATATGAAAAGGTCTAACTTCTCCTAAGCCTACTCAGCAGTAGAGATATACAAAAGTCCGTGTATAATAAATATCACGTGGCTGTGTTGGCTAATAAATAATTCACTCACCAGACCAGAGACTACCCGAAGAAATCGGTGCGCTGCTGCAACTGTGGCAAGGCGCATATGTCGTGGCAGAATAAGTCGTGTCGAAACTTCGCGTTACATAAGGCTCGTGTTCAAAGGGCAAGGTGGGGACTTTTGGAACGAACGGCAGATGTAAGAAGGGCCGTGAAGAATATCGTCTTATAGGGGATATTATTTAAAAGGATTTGATCACCTAATCCAGATACCTAGGCTACTTTTGATGCCTCTTTTATGCTCCCATTTGCCGTCTTTAATCGCTCTAATACTCTCAAGGCCAGGCCAGTTTCCAGATCGCTATCGTAGCGTAGTAGTACTCGTAGCTTCGTTGAGTTTCGCAAAGGTCTTGCTCAAGGACTCGGAGACTGTGGACTGGCTTAATCGATGGCCGTACTCAGCTAAGAACCACTCAATGCACTGTTTTTGGGTTGGTTTTGGGACGTGGCGGTGCGCCCATTGTCGCAGAGCACGTCGTTGCTCCACAGATATTCCCTTTATTGGCGGCATTGTTAGCACCAACCTAGCTAAAAAAAACCCTGGTCGAGATGATATTCAGAGGTTGAAGAACGATAATCGAGTAATCGGTAAATGTATTGGAACGAAGTCTGTTCCGGAAAATATATCGTCTCAACGGCAATATCGTATTAACAGGGGTCTGACCGTACAGCAACCGACCAAGGGTTCACACTCGTGACCCATCAAAAGCCTGAGGGCGTCAAGGGAGGACCAGGACGCCCGCGCAAACAGCCCCTGGTCCCAGCCCTACAAGAACATCTATATGCGCCATCGGAGTCAAGTTCAAGGCCACAGCCAACTCTTTTAAGCACGCGAGGGCAGGGAAATGATGGCAAGAGAAACTTTAATTTTACCTAGTCTTGTCTCTGAATGAAGGCCAATTGCACTTACTGCAGGTAACGAAGCACTACAGGTAAAAATTTTTTGGAGGGCAAGACTGAACACCTGTACGCGGTGTCCTCTACGAACCTGGGAGTGAAATATTCTCCCAGAGCCAAGTTCAGTCAAATTTCGCAAAATCAAAGAAGTTGGCCCAAGAGGCAATGATTCAAGTTACTCCACTACGTCGTTTTTTCACTCCTAACGAGTTTGACTCCTACCTAAGTCTTATCAAGTCTACAAGTACGACCTAGTACATCCTCATCCCAATGACCACACCTCTCTTCGACCTTCTCTGGTCTCAGTTGACCACCAAATACACGCCCACGCCGATATTTATACCCGACGGAGGAAGCAAAGCGTGGCGCACAAATCTGGGAGACAGTTCTTTGGGATGGACGTGAGAGGGATCAGGACAAGTTTACAAGATGATGCGAAGGAAGGATATAACCTTGAAGGGAGTGAAATTCCGAATTTTGGCAAGGAGTTTTACGAATTGGGCTTTGTACGCGCCAAGACTTTGCTTGCGAGAGTGCAGCTGACACTATAAAAACTGCCATGGTTGGATGGTGCGGTGGTACATCTTCTTGGCCGGTCTGCCAAGTAGAGTCTGGATAGCTTGGACACATATCCCACTTGAGACAGTAGATCGCTGGTTCAAATCTGGCAAAACGCAACCACGTTTTTCGCGGCGCTGGTATGCATGGATGACGAAGGCATGCTTGGATAATCAAAGGTTTTTAAATTCCCTTTGGTGGGTACTAACGGAGGAGGGTCGACTGTCTGTGTTAACGAACATACCTCATAGTGGTATTTGCAAATGAAATCCAGAGTATGAGTGTCTCTAAAGTCAAAAGAGTCATCCCACATGTATACATGGCGCCGGTCATGTGTCATAGCTAGATAGCTGAATACACATTAAATGATTTAAAAAAAAAAAGGTAAAAATTTTAATAGAGGGTTTTTACCGCAAGGTTTCCTCCTCATGTAAACATATAGATAGGTTCATAGCCGCCTGCATGGGCCCATAGGGCGCCAAATCGGGTTAAATGAAATCAAAATCAAAATAAACAGTTCATTATTGTTAGAATTTAGAATAATTGGGACTATCAAGTAGGCCACGTTGTTGATACACAAGTGACTGCAAATTCTGTACTTAGTTTCACTTCGGTAGTTACTTGAATCAATGCGCTCCACAACCTCAATGAATGAGGGATCATTATTTCCTTAATAATTATCCTGATTTGGCGCCTTGAGGCTCATGCATGTTTTTATCGGAATATATCTACTTTAAGTATGATGACTCAATTTGAAGTTTAGAACACTTACACTCAGATTTGATTTGCAGATACCACTCGAGGTTAACCCTTACGGCGTATAACCCCTTCCGTGCATACCCACCACAGGGAACGCGTGAAAAATATATGGTTATCCGAGTGTGCTTTCATCATCCCACAAGTACAATTTCACCGCGAGAGAGAGTGGTGTGTGGGTCTTTCAGGATTAGAATCAGCTCTTTCCTGTTCCGAATGGGGTAGGTGTTCAAGCTACCCAGTATCTGCCTGGGAGAACGGCCCAAATGGTGTACCAGTGCACCATCCAACCCTATCTTGGCTAATACCTGCCAACCACAACAGCTCCCTCTCTAAATTCAGGTGCTTTTTTTTATAAACATTTAATATGTATTCAGCTATCTAGCTATGAAACATGACCGGTTATATTCAGGTGCTTCAGGGCGCGCTAAAGCGTCAGGTAGTTCTGTAGGGACTGGGCCGTCTAGTACATGACTAGGGTCACGAGCTTTGGACAGGCACGACGTTGAATTTAACCAATCTATCTTTCATACTCGGCCTTTACCTTCAGGTAAGATAGAGACGGGCCAAGAATTTGGGTTTATATAGTTAGCAA